ATTGCTCGTTAGCTTACGAATATCGATATCAATGTTTTATCAATTAGCTAGAAGGTCGTTGCTCTGAAGATATTAACTAGAAAAATTCCGATTTTAAGGAATCTAGAAATAATATCCGGACAACTATGAAATCAAAGATATTTTAAATCGCTCTCACAAACGTTCGAATAAGACGTACGGGATGAAATAGATCGAAAGTAATTTAAAACGTGTCATTTTCTCTTTTTCTTTTTCTTTTTTTTTTACGTGGGCGACTTTACCCTTCTATTATGAAAGAATCTCAACTTCTGGAATTCTCTGAACGAGTGAATTTTCTACAGCGATAAAACAGAAAACCTCTTATCTAAATATCTATATGCTTTATGAAAGAAACATTTTCTCGGCTTACCAGGTGTCTCGACTTTCGGGGCACGTTCCATCTCTTCGTCCTCGTTGATCTTCATACCTAACGTCAGCTTTTTCGATTTAAAAATGTTGGACAAAAACACTGCGCCCTTGCGCTTCACACGATCGTATCGTTGAGTGTTCTCCGACGACACGTGTATCATAATTCGCCTGGAAATGACAAAAAAATGCAGCTGGTTAACTGCATCGGGCCGTACGAAGAACGTGCACGTGACAAACAAAAGATAAAAGGTGAAAGAAAACAAAAGGCAGAGGAAAACAAAAGATAAAGGAAACTACGCTAAATTTATATCCCTACGTTGGCAAAAAAAATTGCCAGCAATAAATAAGGAAACAGCTGATTAACTCCATCGACGCTTATTAACAACGCGTATAAATAAACCAAAGTAAAACGATATCGCCCGACAAAACGTTCCATTAATATCTGATTCGATCTGGCCGCTCTGGCACGAACTTTCCTTTCAAATCTACAGAAATGTTGGAAACGTTACTGCGGTGTTACTATAGCTCGACATAAATATTCCTGTTCATGCATATATCGATATCGTCGTACGATGGAACAACTTTTGGAAATACGTAAAGATGAAAAGAATCTCGAACTTGTACGTAGCTACAGCTTTTTTCATTTCTATTGCAACGAATGCACAAACGGATTATCCTTACGAAGAACATCTACAAACGATCTATTAAATATGTACGTCTACGGAAATTCTTATTAATACAACGTACACGATTTTTACCCGAGGGTACGACGAGCCAGAGCAGAAAACGAATTCTCGAATCTTAAGATATCCGGCACATGTGCCATTTCCTCCGCTCCTCACTTCATTTCCACTTTATCTAGCCTATCGAAACCCGTCCACCTTCCTGTCAACGACCGCGTTCGTCTGACAACGCAAACGTGCCGTATCTCCGCGAAAGAACAAAAGAACGAAACGATCTATCATCGAGAATGAAAAACAAAGGAAATTTCTATTCGGTAAAAGTCCTAGCCACTCCTTGCTCGCTTTTCCTACAGAACGAAAGGTTCATCGTCGTATAACGAGCAACGTCTGTGCACTACCCTTCCCACGCCGAGTCCAGCAATTTGATTTTTGACGTTCCAGCGGTTTTCCAAATAAATTTCCTACTCTTGTGGAAGACAAATCTTCTCTTAACGACGAATGGGTTTATGTAACGATTAAATCGACTTGTCGTGTTACTGTGGCGAAGACGAGGAAGAAACAAGTGTGTTATCGGTTGTTTGGTTGGAACGTTGGCGGAGAAGAAATTGGAGAAGCGTTCACGATGAACCGCGATCGCATTGCCAACTGCAGCTGCAGGAGGGTGTGCTCCGCGGCTTCTCGTAGGATTTTGCGCAGCTGCAAGTGGCTGAAAAACGAGACGGAGGGCGAGCGATCAGGGGTGGGGGCGTGCGTGATGCGATGAAATAAGAATCAACGATGAAAAACACCACAGTAGCGCGGCGAGGCAACCGCGAAGTGTTTCACCCCTTAACGTTCGTATCTTTTTCCCTTTTCTCTTTATCCGATCGTTGCAGAATCGTCGATCTTCTTCTTCCGATGGATTTGTCCCTCGTTGCTATACAGGATGTTCCAAAATTCCTAACTAAGCTTCTTCGGTACATATTATGAGTAAGAGGTACGTATTAAGAGAGAAAGATATAAAAAAGCTCTCTGTTTGTATAACACGAGAATCAACGTAAGCCATTAAAGAGCACAGAAGACTGACCGTAAAAGATCAGATTCGTTGCTCTACGAAGTTAAAGTTTTTAATTCCAATCGTTTCGATAAATCAATTTCTTCATTTTCGTCAATTTTTTGTATCGCACAGTTTAGCGTTTACGTTCTTATTTAATGTAATTTTTTCTCTTCGTGGAAGTCTAGCAATACGAGGTTTATCCGACGATCTTGTAGGCTATCGTTTCCTTATTTTCGTTGCAACGTTTTAATAAAATTTCAAACGATCTATGGTCGTACAACATTTCTGCTTGTTTGCCAGATGAACTTTTGTTGGAAATAAATTTGTATCCTTCGTAGATTATTAATACGCCGTTTAGTCATCATTGGTATAAACTGGTGCGTCTATGTTACATTTAGAAAACGATCAACTACTTTTTATAATGCGGAAAGTTTTAAAGTATAGGTCTTTGCTATCATCAAACTCTATAATGCTGTTTGTTTCAACGAATCGAACAAATATATCACTGCTGAAAGCATACAGAATTGTAAGGTATAAGGTTAGCCGCGCGAGACACGGGCTTGAGCGTTGAAGGGTTAAAAGTGGCCCGTAGTAAGACCTCTTTCGAGATCTTGCTTTACTTCCCTTTCGATCTGTCTCTGCATCGTGACCTACATATCTTCTACTTCCTAGAAACTTGCTACGCGTTGACAAAAGAATGAGAAATTTTGTTTGATCAATGAAGATTGGAGTTTACCTAGAGAAGTGGTTGGTTTTAACAGACTTTGCGTTTTACTATGGTATATCGAGTTGCACTCAAGACGAACAGTATGGTCGAAACGATGAAAACAGAGGGAAAATAGAAGGAGGGAGCAAGAAGAAAGATGTATAAATAAAAGCAGAAGTAAAAGTACATAGTAAGATGTACATATAGAAAAAGGCTAGTCGTAGATCGTTAACGTGAACCCAACACCATCCCCGACAAACCTACTCGAACCTGCTCTTTTTTCAAGCTGTCGCTACCTTTCTGACCTACATTATCTAAACTCCACCATCATCAAACATACGAACCACCTCTCTACATCGCTTATATCAAGAAACATCTCAAACATCATCTATCAAGCTCTCTCGTATATCTTCACTACGTCCTTCATCCGTTCCATTTCGTACATGTGTAACATATACACGTACGAAAGCATTCATACGTTTTCCCTTTTCAGTCGTAGTCCTCGACGACGAAGTTTCCAATGGTCGCCATTCTCACGAAGCCGTCTATCCAAAATCGCCCTTTCCAAAATTTCCAAACTTCGCCACTATCGCCACTATCGCCATACGATGACCCTACAGCGCCTACGTCGTCTTAAATCAACAAACTCCTCGACCAGCATCCAAGCTCCCACACCTCTCACAAGCTCCCCATAAATTCACCCTCCTCGTCGTCCTCGACCAACTGTCCAAGCTCCAGTATCGCCAATCGTACCATCATCTCACCGATCTTTCGTATTCGCTCACGTCTGTATATCTGCTACATTTACAAAACCACCCATACACCTGGGCTATATTTACAAAAACACCCATACGCATCCTATATTTACAAAAGCACCCATACAGCCGTATAGTGGTGCCCAGTCATCGTCCTGGACGTTCGATCAAACGGTTCCATCCAGCTCGTTGCACGCAGACACGCGACTCCGTGATCTCGTCCACGAGGGTTGCAGACACGCGAGTAGTTTCCACAGTGTTTTTCCACGGGAACATCCCGGTGTCGGCGGCGGATCGATCGCCGTCCACCGCCCACGGGACGTTGAATCGGGGACGTTATACGCGTGGCCACGTCACCCTGCTCCGCACACACCCCCTCCAACCCCTTGGTAGTACTTACTTCCCGGCGCTCCAGGCTCATCTTCCCCGGCACCGATCCTCCGCGCAGCACGTCGCCGATGAACACGAGCACTGGGTCGCGTCCGCGTCGCGACTACCGCGTCCC